TACGCAGCGACAATTGACTGGGAAAAATGCGAAACGAAATTAAACGTTAGACTTGCGAAAATTGTCGATTACTGTAGGGGTTGCTAGTTTGAATGAAAACCGAAATCGGTTTTTACTCGAAATTTCTGTAGACGACCGCTGGACCGCGGGTAATGGAAATGAAAAAAAAAAAAAAAACCATCACTCCCGCGGCCGGTTTTATTTGCCGCGATGAAACGATATTACACATTCGGTTGAACAAACGACTCCGGCGCCGCGCGACCGGAACGCGCGTATAACGCTGTCGCTGTACGCAGGTGTACCGCGGCCGCAGTCGGATTCCCGTGATTCGGAGTTAACGCTCGCGCATTAACAACACGGTAACGGTAACCGTCTACGTCACGGCGATTCGAGCGGGTCCTCGATGAAACGCTGCGAGACGCTGTCGATCGGAACTAAACGACGAGGACCACGAACCCGGCGCGACGCGCGCGGGTCCGCGCCGCGCGGAGCTGTTGAACTTCGGGTCGACCCGCGCGCGTTCACCGCGCTACAAAATGTCTCGGGGTGCCGCCGAGCGCCCGCCGAGACGCGGCCCAACAACGACATTGTCACGCCGGCGCCATCTGACCGTGTCGCGTATTATTTGTTTACGGAACGATTACCGTATTATCGTTATTGTCGTTGCGCGGCCCGGATTCTGATCGGACGGCAAATGGGATGATCATTTTTTACCGCCGCCGCCGCCGCCTCGGGGCATACGGCGCACCGCGTACGGGTATTGATATTGTAACACAAATAATATCCGTGTGATTATAAAACGTACGCGCGCACTGTTACACCGTTGCGCGTGTCTCTGATGTCCGTCGGGTATCATTGGATTTTACTCCGCGGTATTACGCGCCGGTTAGATCGACGAGCGCCTACCGCGCGGTATCGTGTCGTTTTCGAATCGACGTTGTGTACCGTGTTCAATAGTGTCGCGTAACGGAATAAACGAAACGGGGAAAAAAAAATGTGAAACGAAAACCGCCGTTCTGGTTTAGCGTGTACAACATCGCTTTAAATACTGCATTAGGTACTTTTCGTATTGTGCCGACGGCAAAAGGCGCTCTGTCAAAATGTCCAAAAAAAAAAATTAACAACAATAATGACATCCGGTTACACGTCCAGCTAGTACGTAAAAGTCCGGAAATTAACAGTCGGCTACTTAAAATTTTCAAATCGTCTTACGGGGAAAAAAAAAAAAAAAAAAAAAAATAGATAACGATTTGGTTATTCAATAAAAACGTTCAATCGTCAATGTTGTCGTCCGAATCGGACGATACATTCGGTGGAAAGCAACCGCTCTCCAGTGTACCACGCATCATAGCATGTACAACTATACATAGCGTCGCGTCTATAATTTTATAACCGTTACGTAATTATTCACAAGTCCATTACATCAAATCGACGTTTTTACAATCAATTTGGACGTTCAATGTCCGAATCGCCTAAATCTAGGACCGTCATTTTGTATTGTGTTTAGACGTTTTACACGTCGGACAGTAGAGTTTGAGAGACATGTCGTTTGCACATACGCACTGGGCATTTCTACTGCTGCGCATTTAATACCGGAAATTTGAATCTGCAGGAACGTATGCGAGATATTGAAGAGCGTCGTGGGCAACGAAAAATGAAAAATCGTAAAACGGAACAAGTATTATTAGAACAGCTCGTGTCGATTGTTCCCCGTAAACCACGGTATTTGCCGTTGCCCAGCTGCCCAGGAAGTATTACTGTTCGACTCAACTTGTCATGGCGCGTCTAACCAACGGACAACGTAGTAATATTTGCTTGGTGCGTAAATTGCGGCGTTTAGGTTTAAAGTTCGGGTTTAAACACAAATAGCAAAATTTAAAGAGAAGAATATTTTTGAGGGTTGTACGGAGAAATACAATTTTACGACATTTTTTGTACGACTATTATTTTCGAAAAAAAATTACGAATATATTCTCTTTTATTTAAATGTTGTCATTTGTGTTTGAATTCCAAATTTAATCTAAACGCCGCAATTTACATTCTAAGTAAGTATTACTATGTTGCCCATTAGTTTGACTCAGGAAATAAATGCTGGTGTGGCGAGAAAAAAAATCGTCGTAACAAGTATAAAGTCAAAAAATAATATCTCTCCTTATTTCAATGGAAAATATCGTGGTTTACGAGGACAAATCGACATAAGCTGTTCTAATAATACTTATTCCGTTTTACGGTTTTTTTTTTTTTTTTGTTACCCACGACGCTCTTTAATATTTTTTATACATTTTTGCAAATTAAAATTTCCAGTACTAAATGCGCAGCAGTAGAAATGTCCAAAATTCAATGACCAGTACATGATATGTGTATGGTGTCCATGTTAGTCTGAGACAACAAATACGAGTGTGGTGTCCCTCTAAATACGGCCGAACAAGAACTTACCGGCACATTCCGGTATAAGTGTGTTTTTGTTCTTTTTATCGGCCGTTATCTAATCGACTGATTTCGTTTTAAATTTCAGATCCATCCGAAATCGATAAGCATTTATGTTTCGACGTATTATTGTGAAAAAAAAAAATAAAACCCCGAAATAAAAGTCGAATGATACATAATAATTTTATCGTACAGTCTGCAGCGCGTCGGTATTCGAACCGTCAGTTCAATTAAAGGCTGATCATATATTACGTATGTGTCGAATTCGTCTTTGTTCTTACTATAGTCAAACAGTCGTTTCGGTTTTGTCGGTGATGGGCGTCAGTTGGCTCAGTTCTTCCTCGTTACTCGGCAGTTGACGGTCTTCCTCGAAGCTAATACTTCCCGCTTTATACCAGACGACTATGTCCACGAAAAAAGCGCACATCATCAACAGTCCGGTTACACCTGCACAGTGAATATACAAACGATTAGATTTGGCGCACAAATATTTTGGCTGAGTGGGGGGGGGGGGCTCATACCTCATAATATTGATTGTGCGATGTACTTAGTATTTACTTGATAAAGACTTGATTAGAGGGGGGGGAGGCTTAGATGAGTCGGGTGGGAAGGATTAGTGCCGCCTGTTTGCGTTCGTGCATATTATTAAATATGAGCCGATCCGTAATCGGGAAATTCATAACTATTGTTTTGCCGATAAATAAACAACACCGTGGTGATATAAGTAGTAACGCAATAATATTACAAATTGACCGTGTAATCGCCGAATTATATTATGCAGCAGATTGATAAAGAGTCTGTCATCGGTTTCGTGCAGACACGTCGATGACTGCAGCAGCACATACGCGAGATTGAACGCAAAATAGCTCGAGGACCGTTTTTTAATTTTTTTTTGCTTTTTTTTTTTTTTTTACTTAATCTACGTGGGTCATCGTTTATTACCGTGATAGAATATACGGAACGAATCCGAGTTGTACAGAGAGCACGCTCCTTGTTTTCCGCACGTCATTTCCCATATGAGACACGCCGAGTCGACGACCGCTCCGTACAGTATGGGACAAGGCACGTTACCTGCGCCGTAACAAGTAAACATAATATTATTATTATTAGTGTGAACAAGTCGTGACCGCGAACACTTACCGAAGAGCCCTATGGCGAACTGGATTAGTCCGAGGGCCATGGCTTTGTCCTGCGGGTGCACGCACCTGAGTATGAGCAACATGCTGCCCACCTCGGAAGTGGAATGGATGAATACGAACAACGAGAACAGAGCAATGTACCAGAAACCCGAATCTTCACAATCGTCTTTGCACGAACCAGGAAACGCTTCCGTGGCGTTGTTGTTCATGCACTGGCAATCCGTAAACTGTGACAAACGATCCCAAAAGCGTTTGAGTCTCGCGTTTTTTTATGGAACGCGCTGCGAATTCGCCGATCGGACGCGATGCAAAATTATGTATTATAGCAACAATATTTGACTGCGTATACAAGTATTTGGCCCGATTCACCACCAAGGTATTGGTAACCTCGTATTGGTGAAATTGGCGTGTTATCGATTAATTGATTAGATATTTATTATTTGACGATCGTAAAATTTAAAATAAAAACAGAGCCGAAAGAAGAATATGCATATAAAGAATATATTGTTATGGAATAGTATACATATTGCGTTAAGATAACTGTTAGTGTTTTGTGTTGTTTAAAAGCTCGGGTTATAGCAAGAACAAAAGTTATAATATGTTATGTGTACAATATTGTTTAGTGTGTACAATAAAGAGGATACAAGATGAAAGGAAAAAAGAAGAGAAGAAATCGAGTTTTGTCTTGCGAATTTAATAGCCATATTTTAATCGGGAGTTTTAATTTTTTTTTTTTTTATATGATTTACATTAAAAAATTTCGAGTGAAACGTTATTTGAGTACCTTGTAGGTGTTATCGTACGATAACGTCTGGTTCCGGCATCCGGCGTGACACGCCGAGTAGTACGTGATCCCGTCCACGCCGCAAATGGGACTGAACGTTTCTTGGTCACAAACGCAAAGGTCCACGCATCGAGATTCAAACTTGGGTTCATTCCTGTGTGCAATTCAAACGCGTTAAATTCTGCGTGATTCCCGACGAGATACGATAAGAAAAACCCGGCCGTATACGCCGGTCGTGGTAAAAACCCGGGTAAATATCGACGATGTGTGCGGGAAAAACGCGAGAGAATACCGGGGAAACGGCGGCGGATATCGCGCGGTTTCGGGCCGGCTCGGGAGCGATCGAATCGGCGGCCTGGACTACGGGAGACGACAGTCTGCAGACACCCCCCGAAACTAGACCGACGGACATTACGATACCACGTGTATAATACGTTATATGTTACGGTAAATTTATAAATAAACCAATTTTGTGGGGTTGATTTTAATATCGGAGTATTATATTGGCCTATTATCAAAATTAAAGTTGAGAATATCGTTTGTGGTTATACGTCGGTCTTTTTCTCGATATTTTAATTTTCAAGCGAGAAAGGACGATTTCAAAATCGTAATATTTTACATACTCAAAACTCGTTTGAAAATTGAAATGTCGAAATAAAAAACTAAAGCACAAAATATGTAGACAATGTAATTACTTTTAGGCTGAACAATAGACAAATACACCTTAATGTTGAAACTAACAGCATATTAACCGATTTCAGATTTACCGTAACATAATATGAATCACACGTACGACGAGTTTAGGTGCCATGCACTCTGAAACTACTCGACCGATTTTGGTAAGATTTGGTCCAACTTAAAAGATAGAGGGATAGTCTTGGACGTTCCATTCTCAATCCCGTCGGTTATATAAGGGTTTTTAGGTATTTTCGATACGAATACCTAATTGTTTGTGGAAATGTATTTATTTATTTTTGTTTATTCGTGCAGGGTTACCTCGGTGATACAGATAACAATTTGGTTGTCACGGACAGCAAAACTACTATTATTATTATTATTTACACTGTTATATAGCGAAGTATTGCCAGGTCAGCTAGTAATAATAATAATAATATACTCACAGTTCGTCGTAACGCAGTCCAGAGATGTTCGTGGTCGGACATCCGAAAAACATCAGTACGCACATACCTGGAAATGAAAAATCACAAAAATTATAATACCGCGTCTCGTTTTTGTTTTGACGGCGGCGGTTTTTTACCTATTGAGTACGCCAGCGCCGTGAACGCGATCCACGCGGCGACCGCTCTGGCGTTTGGATTCTTCTTCAGTATGTATACGCCGGATATTATGATACCGATACCCATCACCATGATACCGTAAATGCCTAAATATCATAAAAAGCCGTTTTATAAATGAGAAAAAGTGTTAAAATACAATGCAATTGTCCGATTCCGCGTGCGAAATTGGTTATGATACGTTTGCGAATCTCGGCAAGTTCAGTAAATATTGCACGATACTAAAGATTTGTTCGTTATGCATTTCTAGTTTGTTATTTATCGAAATAAAACGGAATACACAATCTTTTGCACATTTTTATTGCATATTTGCGAATATTGTGCGCGTATGATATCGATATTTATCGAGGGCGCCCATTTGGGGGGGGGCAAGGGGGAACATGTCCCCTTGACATTTACGCGTCTATTAAAAATGTATACATACATCAATAACTTAGAATCTCGCTTCACAAGATCCGACGGAATTCCATTCGAAATAAATAAACTACCAGCGGTTATAAAATCAAGCAAAAGCTACTCGAAATGTACACTAGAAAATGTAAAGGATTCGTACAAAATCGATGGTCTTATAAGAGAAGGCGGTAATACACAATGACACGATTACCGGCATATTACAGAAAACTCTTCTAAGACAAACGAAGCGTATAATATTTCATATCGTCTTGAGGATTACGACTTTCCCCGTTAATTTAAAAATGTATCGCCGTTTACGCGATCGTATACCACCTGCAGCGTGTACAATTTAAACACGGTTTAGCGCGCTCCGTCGTGTAAAAACACGGTTAAGGTCTGCAACGACGGAACAGTGGCCGACTAGATTACGCACGCTTATTGCTCTGTATACACGGACAGAAAGTTGAACATTTAATCAAACCAATCTAAACACGTGCCGAGTGCAACGTACAATTTTCATCTTATTAGAAAATCGGCCCGCTATTACTGCCTACATTATTATCTCAGTTATTCGATAAATAATTATATATTTATGATAAATACTATTGTATTCGATACAGTCGAGTCACGTTAACTTACATAATACAACGGTTAACAGAAAAGTCATTGTCATTGAAAAAATACAGTGACTTCCACCCCTCCCTTGGATTTTTGAGGGTCGACGCCCTAGACACACTAACGTACGTGTAATTTCCCATCCCCGTGTAAAAAAACATAATACGGTACCTGTGACCAAGTTGGCGGTATGCGTAGGAAAGTGAAACTGCGACTCGAAATATTTGGGCAGGAACGTGTAAATGCCGGCCAGCGGCAACAGGTGAAACACACTGCTCGCGGTCCGGTACATGAGTATGTCGTTTTTGAGCAATCTCTTGACGGCCGTCGGAAAATCCCTGAGTTTGGGCGCTTTGGCACCCGCCCCGCCGTTGTACGGCAGCGCAGGCGTCGGCGCCGCGTCCCCGTTGCTGTTCTGCAGCGGCTGCTTTTTGATCTCGTTATCGGCACCGACCGCCGACGACGACGGCGCGGACGGCGTGGCCTTCGGCCGCGGCAACTGTTTGGGAAATGCAAACATCGGCATGGACGCCAACAGCAGAGTGACCGAAATGCCGACCAGACCCAACCACCAGGCGCCCACCCACCGCGGGTTGTTGGTGTCCATGTTGGGTTCGGTGCTGAGGTCAGCGTACAGCCGGGTGCAAAACGAACCCAACAGAAACCCGAACGACGGGCCCAGAATGCGGACTCCGATGGTGATGGAGAAGTAGAGCGGTGACTCGCGGCTGGCCACGTTGTCGTCGATGAACGGTATGCCCAGCGTATAGACGGCCGTCTGACCAATGCCCACGCCCAACAGGCTGACGAAGAATATGACCAGGACGATCTGCGTGTTCTTGGACTGCGCTTGCTGTTCGCTGAGTACGTTCTCCTCGCACGCCTCCAACGACGACGACGACGTCGACTTGGCGATCGATGACGTGCCATTGCCGTCCCCATATTCGGGCGTCACGCACACGTTGGACGTGTAATAGTTGTCCATGGTAGCGGCCAGAGTCGCGTTGGTCGACCCGTCGGCATTGATACCGACGCCGCTGCCCCCGCCGCCGCCGGCCGTGGTCTGCAGCGGGTACTGGTGATGTCCGAACAGAAAATGCGGCGACGAGCACGCCAAAGTGGCCACGCCGAACAACACCATGCTGGACGCTATCCACCGGGGACGGTGGCCCTGGCCGCCATAGTACGTGAGCAACAGCGACGAGCCGATCTGCCCGATCTCCGTGGCGCTCAGCACCAGCCCCATCGTCTTGCTCTGCAACTGGAACAGTTTCTCCAGCGTGGTGATGACGCTCACAAAGTACGTGGAGAACATGCCCTGCAGCACCCAGCTGAAGCAGAACGTGGCCAGGAAAACTTGCTTGTTGGCGAACACCTGCATCCACTTGAAATGGCACGGCCCGATGCCGCACTGCGTCTGCGAGCGGTCCTCGTCGTCCGGGCCCGCGCCCGCGCCGTCGTCCGCCACGCCGTTGCCGCTGCTCACGACCACGGCCGCCATCGCTGTGGCCAACATGGCGTCCGCCGCCTCCTTGTCGTCCGCCGGACCGGTCCGGTCTTTGAAAGCGGCCATCACGGCGGAACGGCACGTCGCAAAAACGGCAGCTGTATCGCACGACTACTGCACAATGGTATTAATATGTCGGACGGCGTTTCGACGCGGTTTTTCACAGTCGGCGGGCCGTCGTCTCCGTTGTAGCGCCGTTGAAAGACGTCGTGTCTGCGAAACAAAAAAAAAAAACCGGTCAGAGGCGAGAGCGACAAAAAACGTGGCCGACTCAATGCGGGCGACTGTTACATGATAGCGTTGCCATTATCGTACGGGACAGAACGCGATTTGCGTTCGCGGAAAGGGGTGTTTTTCGGATCGCCGTAAACCGTGTCGCGATTAACGGGCACGGTTTAACAGCGCATTGTTATAGTGTACACTCGCATCTGGACGACGCGGGCGACGTTACAAAACGATATAAGCGCGCGCGTTTTTGTAACGCACGAGCCGCGCCGACGACTCTCCCTTTCGGACGGCGCGGCGTACGCCGCGCGCGCCGCAGGTACTGCTGCGTGCTGTATTATAGAGGTGTACGCAACGCGTTATTATTACGCCCCAAGGTTTCCCGTTTACGCGTACGCACGCGCGCGCGCAAACGCACGCGCCGCCGTCGTTTACTCGTTATATAATACACACACAGACACGCGGCTGCGCTTGTGTGCGTTCACCGGGCGGCAAGGTCGATGGCAATTAAACGTCGCGGCGGACGCGGCAAAAGTGAACGCGGGCGAACGGGCGAGCGCGCGCCGAAAGCGGCACAATACGCGCGCGCATTACCGTCTCATCCCGAAAATATTATAATAATAATCGTATTGTAGTCGTGTATTGTGTAGTGTACAGCGCGCGCACTACGCTAAATACAATGCGCCGGGCACGCGTATGGCGCGAGCTCGACCTTGGCGGACTCGCGAGCTCACGCTGACAATAAGGGTGACGCACCGGGTGCGGGCGCTAGAGAGCAACAGGTTAACGCGGCGACGGCGACGACAATCGAATCTTTGCGCGAATTCACGCGACACGCGCGCGTCAACGGTGTCGCGTTTGAACTTTTTACCCGCGACGCGTATCGTCCGGCGACCGGACCCCAATCAGAAGTCCCGTTTTTGTACCGCCAGTCACTGTCGCGGGAGTTACGGATTTACTGTCGCGAACCGTCTGCGCCGTTTTTAACGCCGGTATATCTACGAAGGCCGAGTAACGGTCGGATCGAATATTCGCGTTTATATATCACGTGAAGGGGCCCGTTGACAGTTTTTCAAGTTTTCCGCGATTTTGAAAAATTTAAAAATTATTTTTAACATTTCGATTACCGTTTTAAAGACAGGATTTTCCATCTGATCTGATACTAACCGGTACCCATTTTCGGTGGCGAGAGGAGGGGAACGGGTGGGGCCGTTTTTACTGACGAAAACGATTTTCTTGTATCATTGCCGATTTGAAATAATTAGGGGGGGGAGAAAAAGGTGGTAAAAAAAAAAATATATTAAATTCGGTTGATTCTACTGAGCAGTATCACTAATTCCGTATGGAATATATTTTTGGTGGGCAAAACGACATTGGCACCGGACCCCTCAAAACTTTCGTCCGGTCTCGTTACGCCGCCGTGTGCGCTGACGTTTCACGCGGTTTATCGTACGGAACTACGTGCCGTACCGTGTACTACTTTCCGGGCGATTAACATCAGCTGATATTATTATGTATACTCATCACTTACGCGCGCCGTCACCTCTGGGGCCCCTGTTTAGGGGGGTTGGAGGGGGAAACGATGAGGTCGTTTGCCCCGGGACACAGCCGAAGTTTTTAAAAACTACTCGATACAAAACTCGAAACAAAACCAAAGATATATCGCTGCGTTAATTATTATGTATCGGGTGTTCGAACGCGTATACATGGAGTAATAATGGATATTTGTTTGACGACATTAAAACAGTACGACCAATACAGTAACGCGCGTACTAATTGTAAAAAACAATTAAACTACAAATTCGTGGGGTATTAACCCCCGGAACGTCCCCAGACGGTTGAAAACAGACGCCACTGGTTGACTTAACGCGGACGCGTGGTCTTTTGATGCGGAGACGTAGCGAAACACCGTCTCAGCTAAATAGCCGGCCACCCTGCGGTCGTGAAGTCTCCAGTGGTTTTCACTCCTCCAGGGCCGTCCAGTCATTAAAACAGCTGATTTTACCGAAAATTTCGGGTCTCGTCTTGCGTTCACCGTCGTACCTACGTGTTCACAGAAGCGCCGTGCCTATATAATGTATAAATATATATATATAAGAGGAAAATTATCTAGGTAATTAGAGAAGGAATAAGGAAGCTAGAAATAAGGAAAAGGATAGAAAGGCGAGTGGTACAAAATGGGGCTTGGAAATTTATTAGAGATAAAAGAAAAGAAGAATGGATTTTGGCGGAAGAAAATTAGAAAGGAAGAAGAGATTAGATACATGTCGACGGTCAGCTACCGAAGAAATATTCAGGGTACGAATAACAAGTGTGTAAGCATGAGAAGGGTGAGGGATATTAAGACGATAAGCTGCAACTCGGAGGAATTTTCTCTGGACACGTTCAACAGAGGTCTGAAAGAACACTACCGTATTCGAGCAGAGGAAGAACCAGAGTACAGTAGAGGGATTTGAGGGGGGATACAAGTTGGAACGCAGCAGAGAACCGAAGGACAATGCCAAGAATCTTAAGTGCCCTACAGCAAATATCCTCAATGTGCATCGTAGGGAAAAGGTCACGAGTGAACGTAAAACCTAAGTCACGAATAGATTCGCTTGACTGTAGAATAGGAATATTATAAATGGCGTAAGGAAAATAGATATGAAAGTTGGTATGGAAAAAAGAAAAAACCGAACATTTAGAAATGTTCAGAGTTGTCAAAATGACTTAAGAAACACCACGATTACGTACGATTTTCAGGGCAATGTTGCCGTTTACAATTTATTATTTAATATATATCAATTTTCTTAAATAATAACTTTATAAAATGAGTTGATGGACTATAAAAGTCATAGTTAGATTTAAAAAAAAGATATCTATGGAGATAATAAGTAATACAAGTGGTTTTCCTTTTTCCGAAATAATAAACTTCACTTTGTTTTCCATTTTCATTATTTAGAAGTTGTATTTCTATGACGCACCGCAATTTAAATTCTATTAATCCGTGTGAAAACTGACGTTATTTAAGGAATAACCTAACCGTGTTACAATGCGATAACATCGGTTTTCACACGGTTTAGTAGAATTTAAAATGGCTGTTACTTAGAAACTATTTATCGGAAAAAAATATGTGATACATTAACATTTTCAGAAAAATAATCTTTACAGAATGGCTATCTTAAAAAAATAATAAAATAAAAAGTTATTTTTTTAATTTTTTTAATAAAAAAAATGATGATTCAAATAAATATTTGTAGTCCTATTTCTGGAGAGTTTCACTATGAGTAATATTAAAAAAAAAAAAAAAAAAAAAAAAAAACAGAATTTGGATATCTTTATTATCTCAAGAGACATTCAAAGGGTATAACTTCGTGAGACAGCTTACATATTTATTTCGTGCGATCGGTGTATTTCACGGGTGGAAATTGCACGATCGCATTCGTATTGTGCACACCGAAGAGCAACGTCGTAAAATTATTCTAGACCGCGCACGAATATTCGAACAATAATTAATAGTAATGCGATGTTATTACACGCTCGTACTACTACTATACAAATCGTACAAATAACGTCTCATAATACAAACCCCGCGCGCGCGTTATCCATAATAATAATATTATTATATTGTTATGCATGTGTACACGTGTTGTACTACACACTCGTATATAGTCATTAATCGTATTATTCTTTTGGAAGCAAAAAAAAATTTTTAAAAAGTTTTCGATTATCACTTTTTCTCTCTCTCTCTCTCTCTCGTTCGCTCGCTCTCACCTTCCCGATCGAATTATTCTATTGTGATAATATATTACACACACAATGACGCCTCGTTCCATTATTATTATCGTTATTACAGGTACTGCAGAGCGGCCTGAAAACACGTCGATCGACAGGCCAAAATCAATACGGCACATTCCTTTAATATGCAGATGATGATTATATTATGTGTATAAGAAGTATTACGACGCCAAGTAGGTATTAACCCTATAAACCCGCCTGTAAAGATTACACTATGATAATATAGTATGTATAAATAAAGGTTCTGTACGGTCTACGACTACTTTTATGACGTCTTGTATGTATGGGGCGTTTTTGTTTTGTTTTGTTTTTTTTTATTAGTTTTACCACGATCCGGCGATGATTTAGAGTAAAATCGATTTTTTTTTTTCAATCGATAATCGTATTTTTAACACCGTTGTTTATAATAATAATTTCGAAAATTAAACCCATTTTCCGTACGCCGTCAACACATCCGTCATTTTTCGATTGTCAAACAGCAACGCACCTAACCGATTCGAAGAGAGAATGTTTTTCTAAAAATTGTGATAACAATATACATGATATTAAATTTACCGTTTATGAGTAAATAACGGTTAAAAATTTAGACCGGATAAGTATTATAGGAGTAAGGGTCTAAAACAGGATACGAAATGTATTTCCTATCATAAACGATACATCCGATATTACAGTTGTTGTGTACAGTGGTGCGACCAGGATGCATTTCGGGGAGAAAGAAGGAGAGTACGTACACAAATTCAAAATAACGAGGAAATGTTTCTGGATCGCAAAACAAAAAACGTATTAAACTAAATTTTTTAAGTAGAATTCGTGAAAAAGTCTCAAATTTCGGGGAATTATTATAATCCTCAACCTCTTTCTCCCTGATCGTGTTGCTTACTGTAGTTATGCGTACGTCAAAATGTTTATCAAGCTATTTGTGTCGAACGCACGTTGTCGAATGGACCGTGCGTGCTTACCGTTTTAAAATCGATAGCGTTTAAGGCGGCGTAAGCGCTGAGGAAAAACAAAAATCGAAAACTGGATTAAATCTCGTCTCCTAACTCCGCGATCGAAATCCTCCGAGCAAATCGCCAGAACTCAACGAAAAAAAAATCGCCTAGTATAATACGCTGCAATAACGATGGTTTTTTTATTATTATTATTATTGTTATTCTATCGCGCCACCGTATGTTGTAATAAAAAAAAAAAAAAAACTCGGACCGCGATATCCGCCGCGGGATATTTGTTTTATAATAATAATAATAATTAATCATATTATTATATAGAAGTTTCTCGCGCAGTCTTCGGTCTCGGCATAATAATTTCACCGTGCTACCGCCGCCGTCACGTCGTTATAATTAAATACGTGTCAAAATATGAAAAATCGTAATTATTATAATATTACGCGTACGAGATTTACGATATTTCGTTTGTCTCGTCACGAGAATACGGTAGAATACGCGGTTTTTGAAAAACTGTATGCATAGATGGTACTGATGTGCGTATATTGTGTTAGACCGACGGCTAAAAACCGAAACCGGGCGAACCTCAGAAACGTCCGGCGGCGAAAAACGTCTAAATTCGGCTTTTGCCAGGACAAGCCTATTTTTTATTTTTATAACTTTATAAACCATTCAGGCTTTTTACTGCCTAAACTAATTCTTTCCATTTTGCTCTTCTCTCTTTCCTCTGATATGTTCCAATTTATTTTTCTTGATTGCGTAAGTTCGATCATGATCTCCTGCACACTGTCCATCCATCTTCGGCGCGGTCTCTCCCGTGTTCTCGTCCCTTCCATTTCTTCGTTTATGATTTCCAATCATAAGTTTTCCATCTGCTCTCTGAACATGCCCCATTCGTTCACGTCTTCTGCTTCTAACAAACTGAACAACATTTTCTCTTTTATATAGTGTACATGAAATGTTTATAAAGTGGTAGTTGTTTGATCTTATTTCCCATTTCTGCACTCCTTGTGTATGTATTAGGTCATGTATTCTCATCAGTACCTCTTTCTCGAATCTTAGACTCTTTTCTTTGTCTATAAGGTAAACCTATAATAGCAATATATTGTAGTGACAGACTTCGTTCGGGCAAAACGCAAATTCGATTTTTCACAGTAGACGTAAAACGAGAAAATAAATATTGTTGTTCCGACATAATTTAATATGATTAAATGTGAGAAAATCGAAAAAGTTACTCGTGATATTCGATTATTTTTATACGAAAAGTAGGATACATAAAGTCATTTGATTCATATCTGAAAACAACGATAAATCATTGTTAACGAAAAAAGATTTTGAGCAGAACTCGGTTAATAGTATTGTTTTTTTCAACGATGTGTGTTTTTACAACAACGATTAAAAAAAAAAAAATTAAAACATTTAGATAATAACTACTTAATAATAATAAAAAATTAATAAAAACGGTTGCAAATGATAACCTTACTTTTAATATTTTTTAACCTATAAAGATCCAGTTTTCATCATTATTTCGGATATTAATGATAATATCAAAAAATGACCTTTCTTAAGTACCAATTACAGCTAAATTTCAACAGAAACCATCTTTGTAAAACCATAAGCTTCTTCGTTCCACTCAGAATCTAAAATAATAATAATAAAAATAAACATCATTGTAAAAACAGTACATTCTTCGCTTCATTTAGAATCTAATATACGACAAACATCATGTTTGTTTGTTGTTAAACAACCCCCGTGTGAAGCCGTGTTTAGAATAAAGTTCTAAATGCCGTGGATTCCGACGTGTGTATAGGAATAAATAAACAAGTATATTTTCGTCGTGTTTCACTGGGAAACGTACAAACTTTTTTTAGTTCTTAAAATCAATATTATGTTCGTATTATAAAATAATAATTTATTATTAGTAGTATTTATTTTTCCATATGTTTAGTAATTACGGGCATCAGCTGAATAGATGCAGCGGTATAGTATAAGTATATAACAACAATTTAAGTGAATAGCATCAAACAGATTAATCTTAGAAAAGGAATGATGATTCTCATCGTCCTGGTGATCCTGGATGGATTCTCGCGTAATTAGTAAAGTAGTGTTGGATTAATCATGTGTACTTAATAGTATTCGATTTTCATTGGACACAAAATTTGAACACAATTTATTTTATCGGCAATATTATAATACGTATCGAAAACACGATGGTAACGTCTAGATGGATCGCGATTTAAAAACGCTGACATCTGGCACAGAAAAACTGCTACACTTGAAAATCGGAGCAAAATGTCTACGTAGAAAGTTGTTCACAGAAACAAAAAAAATAAATATCATTGTAAAGCCAATACGTTCCTCACTCCGCTTAGAATCTAAAATCGGTTTTTTTTTTTTACACGAGTAACTTATACTCAGTAGGAAACTAACTAATGTTACTAACGTTAATTGCTCACCCGGTCTTTGAACCTCTATTATAAATAACTTACAACAATAATATATTATATTGACATATTATGCGGTCTAATTTTTATTTCTTTGTTTACCTCGAAATAATTACCGTAGGTGATATTATAGTAGGAATATTATACAACGCAATAAAATATAATATATTATTACGATCAGTGGTTTTTCATATAATATGCTGCGTTTCATTAGTATAAGTATTCTACTGTAATAACGCGACATAGCATATAAATATTTCATTAGACGCCGTACACAATATACACGAACTCAAAGGGTCTCAAGTCTCTAAATTAATTGTTAAACGGCTATGTACGTATAATACTTATGATATCAAAACTAAAAAAAAAGGCTTTTGCCGCTAATAAACGTGCCACTGTTTTAGGACGGAAATTAGATGGGAGGATATTCAGAGTATGTAATTTAATTTATATTATTTGTACGTAACGATAAACTATCGCTAACAAATAAACAACTATGCTGAGCTAAAGAGCATTAGTATAATTTGTATTTGTTTCCTTGTTGCCAAGATAACCCAGAAATCAACAAAAATTTTACGAACAATTTTAAATATGAAATCTACAAAAAAAAATCAAAAAACTGACCTCATCTATGCAACAATAATATTAAAAAATGCTACGAGAAAGTATTTCTATATAATTTTTGATTGGAGTAAGATTTCTGGTACAAAAATTATTTACAGACACAAAACAAAAGCACATCATAATAAAACGTTCATAGCATTGAGGTAGACAGAAAAACAGAACAGTAAATGAATGTAGTATAAATGAGAATGCTAAGGTGGATGAGTGGAGTAACGAGAGAAGATAGGATAAGGAATAATTTTTTTTCAATCATAAAAAGTTGTTTATTTTTTTTTTTTTTAATTGTATCATAAAAATAATACCTGATGTCCAAATAACGAATACGTAATGATAATAATTATAATAATATTATCATTTATACACATTATTGTTTGATAATCAATAAGTGTTTTCCAAACCAAAGGTTATTATCAATTATCACTTAATAACATTCAACTTACTTAAGTTACTTTTTTCTTTTAATATCTATAAACTAAACTACGTAACTGTAATTTACTCAATTACTAAAATAAAGTCACTCGTTCGAGTTTGATTTTAAAAACTGATTACTGCAAATATGAAGAATTTGAATTTACCAGTCAAGGTGTATGTAATATTAATATCAAGTATAAAAAATATATTGCACCATCTGCACATACCAGAGCAATTAAGCGAAATACATGTTCACTCAATTCAATTGACAAAGTATTATAATATGTCCGTCCAGTAATCGCAATATGAATAGGATATTTAGTTAAGCCACTTTTAGCGACTGTAATTGGAGACGGGGACAAAAAGAGGATGCACTTGTCGTTTGCGAAATAAATTTTCAAAAGCCATTCATCCGGCCGCCTCTCGTCTATTACGACCTCTTAATAAAATAGATAATAAAATTTGTTCTCTAGGGACCTGAGTGTTTATTTTATTAGTGCACGACAATAACCGCGATTAATATTCCAGCAGCCTAGTTTAACTAAAAAAAAAAAAAACACGTGAAACACAAGAGTAGGTGTATAATGTTGTCCGCTAAAATATAATACGAGCATACGCGTTCATTTTTTATACTCATCGAGTCGATTATTGGATTATTAGTTAAGCACTCCTATTAGGTATGCTGTCTTAGAAAAAAAAAATAATAATAAAAATTCTTATCTTATCTCCGAATGAACGTATATACCTAAAAAAGTACATTATTCTATGATAAATATTACATGTGGTAGGTAATACGTGAACCGTGTTAAAGTATCCAGTACGCGACTTACGAGTGATGATTAGTATTACTACTTGTACAACTATTTGAATGTGCAACAGTTTAAAATTCTATGTAATAATATATTATGTTTCCTCAGGGCTTAGGTTTTTTTTTGTTCACCTACCGCCAAAACAAGTTTTACAAAAGCTTTATGTAATACTAATGACACCGAAAAACATTTATAAACCACCGAAACCACCTACACGTTCGAAAGACTTCATAGGTCTACACTATCCAATGGATAAACAGCACTCGAATACAGCGGTATCCGCGATATCCGTTCTCTCTCATAATTAACTCATCTGAAATCCATATAGACGATTAGACGAATAGCTACACAAATCGTGATCATCAAAATAAATAGAAACTATACGAGATAATTTACTAATCCACTGTGGCGTTCTAAACCATCCGAATAAGAGGTTAAAATCTAGACGCCTTGTATGGAAAGACTTCATAGAATATAACAATTCACTAGATAAATATAAGAGAGACGATGACGACGTGCATATTGATGCATTTAGCCGTCCCTCGTGCTATAGACCACATAAAACTTACTTTGTACATATACGCATACACACTATCCAGTGTACGTTTAGCACACTGACTTCCGTGGAACATTGTCAAGTTTAGACCGATAGGGAGGTTAGACGTTGTAAAACTCCTAGACCTCCTAAAACCGACTCGGTTACGGTTCGCCTTGGCCCGAACTCGGATACGGTCGTTAAAATATTATACGCTATCGAGTATTTACGCGTAAAAAAAAAAATCGTTATAATATTGTAAACATCGTAGTACACGCCCACAATATTGTTGTATAATAGATCATTCACTATAGCAACTGCGAGCTGTCAAATAATAAAAATATGTTTCACTTGTATCGGGTGACGGGACTTAGAAACTCGATTTCCACATGTGATATATTACCGATATACGTATCACGAGCGTATATAATAATATTAATATAGTAAAATAATATTCCGCAGTTTCACACATCACCGACGACGACGTCCGCGCACGCGTGTTACCCATTAACGAAAATTGTGTTGTTTTTTATGTATGTGTGTGTGTATTTTTAATTTGTACACGTAATATACATATAATAATATGTACACACAAATATTATAGTATCGTATAAACGAGTTTTGACACGGTCAATTTCACACACTCACGATTTCAAACAACATTTCGGCCGTCGTCGTCGAAAATATATGCGTAATATATTATTATTAAAGGGTCCCGAAGACTTGAAATAAAAATTTAAAAAAAAAAACCACCACATGTGGCATCTATAAACTCGTATAGGCGCCTTACAATATTGTTTTTATTTTTATTGTTCGTTTAGTATATACACGCGCTACTTTATATTCCACTGAAAACAATTAATTAGAGGCTCAAGATTTGTCGTGGTTTTTAATCTTTTCCAGAAACAGACATGTCCCACTCTTGCCCCCCCCTGCCCCAATAGACACCAGTTGGTTGAAGGCCGGTGACCCGGTGCTTATGCTCATACATTTTTAGTTTCGTATTGGTAATAATAATACGTTTTCCTACGAATTGTCGACACGTAAAAAACTATATCCGGTTGTGGATTTCAGTGATGGTTTTTGATTGTAAATAGTATTTAGCCGGTGCATTAGGGGATAGTTGTTTTCTTTGTATTTTCTTAATAACGGTAAAAACTCCGGGAAAATTTATCAGATAAACGGGGACATTGCGTATTATGTTAAAATAGATTT